TGGCTCTGATTCTTTCAGACACTCCAGAATAAAGCACTGCCAAGTCCCGTTCCATCCTAATAAGCACGGCTGGGTTTGAGTGCATCGTTGCAGCTACGATGTCAATCCGCTTCCTTGTGAGGATCCCTCTTCTTTAGGGACACTTTACTTTTTCAAACGTGGTGTCTTTCTCAGGGAGTGGTTCCTCCTGATAACATGTCCAAAGTACGTGACTCAGAGTTTCTAATTCCTCCTTTCGAAGAAGCATTCTGATCAGACTTCTTCCAAGACCGATTTGCTGGTTCCCAGGCCGTCATTTGAAATCCGGCTGGTATACCTTCCAGCATACAGTAATACACAAGCCGCTGCACTATGATAAACTGACAGATGACTGGTGGGCATGGACATGTAGGATCTAGCTATTATATTTTTAGTTTTAGATATGGACACATAGAATCTAGAAATTATATTTTTAGTTTTATTATTTTTGTCCTCTATACAGGGAAACATTTAAATATGCCATCGGTTTATTTTGTTTTTATCTGATGTTAAGTAGACTGCATTTTAATACAATTACAACAGTTTAGATGACTTGCCATTAATGTCAAGATCTTGTTGGCCTTTTCTTTAGGAAAGTCTGCCATTGAGACTAGGAAGTGGTTGTGCTGAAGGACAACATGATTGCGATTCCCAGTGTATGTGTAGTAATGTCGTTGTCTGTTAGGGCTCACAAGGTGAAACTACATTTTGATCATTTACATTTCAGTACCAATGGTACATTTATTTATATATAATTTATTGGGAGTTCTTACAGATAGTTTAACAATCTATAATTCAACTAGATCAAGCATAATTGTACAATTGCTGCCACCATTAGTTTAAAAACATTTTCTTTCTTCTTGAACTCTTCGATACCAGCTCCCCTTTATCCCCTCCTTTCCCCACCCTACCCCCCAGGAACCCTTATTATTATAATATACGTTATTATTTTTTCACCATATCTTATACCATCTACAATTCTGTTATTTGTTTCCCTTGAGTGGGGTTGTAGTCATCATTGTTATCGGTTCCCCCTCCCTCTTTCTTCCTGTACCCTCAGGGAATGATTACTCCCTTTATTATTTCTAAAGGGTTTATCTCTTGGATTTCATGCATCAAATGATCTTAATTATACAAATGATCATACGCAGGTCTAACAAGATTAATGAGGTAAAACCAAGGCCATAATAGTAAGGGGAGGAAGCACTAGAGAACTAGAGGAAGTTATGTATTTCATCAGTGCTGTACTGCACGCTAGATACATCATCCTTTCATGTGGCCATTCTGTGAGGGACTGTCCAATTATCTTACAGGTGGGTTTGGGGTCTCCACTTTGGCCACGCCCCTTCATGTCAATTTGATTGCTTTTTTTTGAACTTCTGGTCCCTTTTCCCGTCGATACCTCATGATCACACAGGCTGGTGTGTTTCTTCCATGTGGGTTTTGTTGCTTCCCTGCTAGATGGTCATTTGCTTAACTTTAATCCTTTAAGACCCCAGAGGCTATGTCTTTTAATAGCCTGTCACCATCAGCTTTCTTCACCACATTTGCTTCTGCACTTATTTTGTCTTGAGTGATCGGGTCGGGAAGGTGAGCATCATACATTGCCACATTATTAGAACAAACCATTCTTGTACTGAGGTAAGATTTAAGTACAGGCCATCTGCTTCCTCATTGTATTTACACGACACACATGCACACACACATACACATAGACACACACACATAGACAAATACACCTACCTTTATATATTTACATATATACATATCTATGTTTATACCTATATAAAATTTTTACTTTCTTGTTCTTTCCTCTTTTTTTTCCCTCCTGCCCCACTATCATGTTTATCCATTGCTCACCAATCAGTCATTTCTCTTGGATACCTTTTAATTGATCAAACACGACCAGGAACACCACACACTCTTCACTGTCAATTTTAGATCCTTTGCTGTTCTCCTGTCCCTGTAGGGACCGGCTCCCAGCTTCCCATCCCCCGCCTCCTCCTTTCCCAGGCCCCCCTGGAACAATCGGTGCCATTGCTGTCTCCTTGGGATTGCTTCTCCTGGCTATCTTACACAGATAGACCCCAAGAGGGGAAAAAAGAAGAAGAGAGAAAAACGAGAGGCTCTACAAATAGTTCCCAGTCTAACTGTCATCCTGACCAGATAGATGAGTTTCCCTCTGTTAAATAGCGAGCAGGCCCTGTTATCCTCCATTAATCCCATTTTCTTTCAGGGATCCATATCCCAGCACCCACCTACCTAACCACACTTACACCCTTGTAGTCCTCAGCATTTGTGACCAAGGAACGAGCCTTCTACAAGACCCCATTGTTCTTCTGCAGTCAAGGACACAGCCGTCTAGTGCCCCTGTCCCTCCCGTTTTACCTTTAGACTTTCAGTGTGGCCCCACTGTGAGTATCTCCCAACCAGTTCAGAGGAAGTGCCAAGCGCTACACACACCCTCCCCACCCCCACCCCCTAGTCTGAAGTCTACAATCGGGATTCCTCAAGGACTTTGTGGCTTTGTTCCCATTGCTGGTCTGTTGTACTCCCCTCTTGGTTTGCAGGACATTTATTTCTGCAGGCAAAAAAAGTCAGTCACTACATTAGTTCATGCCTCTTTTAACTGAATCCATTCACTCTGAATTATGAACAGTACACACACACACACACACACACACACACACACACACACACACACCAACTTGGGACAACAGACGGCTTGGTTGACCTTTGTTTTTACACAGATGGGCGGCAGCGTCTCCCCGTATCCTGTTGATAAGAGATTATAACTTGACTATGCGGTCGTTTAAAGAGCGGGCTCTGCACGGAGCATAAGGAGCCCCGTGGAGCAGTGGTTACAAGTTGGGCTGCAGTCCCCACGGTCGGCCCTTCAAAACCGCCAGCAGGACCGGATGGTTGTTTGAAGCACATTCCCTAGGCCACTTGAAGCCTCATGTTCTGCAGCGCAGCGTGGCTTTCCCTAACGCCTGAAAGAGCCAGGAGGGCGTTCTGAGCTCTGATAGCCATTGGTTCAGTTATTTCAGGCCCCCACTGTGTGCTCATTTGCTGTCTTATTGCTTTAACCCTCCTCCTCTTGTTCCCTGTGAGTGGGCTGGTCCTCCCGCCTGCCCTAGCAGCTCACACAGAGACACACTGTGTTCTTCAGCACTTGGCTTTGACCTGCAGGTTTTCTCCACCACGGAGAGCTGAGAAGCCATTTTCATGTGTCGCTTGGAATAGTGCCTACTGCTGCTACTTCCCTGGCACGCACTGCGCCCTTCCACAAAGGGCTTGTGATTCCCTTCTTTTCAGGAAGCACATTCCTGGCTGTGGCTGCAGAAGTAGAGTGATGTTGCAGAGCAGTGGCAGCAGATTTGCGCCTGAGCGGCGGGTGACAAGTAGATGTGCAGGGAGTCAATAGGCAAGTAACTGGCTACACACCCCAACCAGACGACGTGGCCTAGGCTTTGGAGTGAGGAAGGCAGCACACAGCTTCTGGATGATCTTGTCACGTTTTCTTTCACAACCCACGCCATCACAAAACCCCAGCGCGCTCTCCGCATGTGTCAGCAGGGAACTGAGCTCCCTCCGCCTTTCTGGGCCTGCAGTCCCCTTTGAGTCACACAGACCACCGGGCCTTTCTTCCGCAGTGCCACGGGGCAGACTGGAACTGCCACCATTTTGCTTACTAAGCCCAAAAGACTCTTGTTGCCCGGGACCTACATTTTCTTTCGCGAATGGCAAAACAAGCTACTTTGTCCTTCTCACCTCATTGGTTACAGGTTCCTGAAGCAATTTTTGCTCCATAAGCATGGCCTTTCTTGTGAGGCAGAACACCCTGATCTGATGTGCTGGAAGGCCAGTTTTATCATCAGATGCCAAAGGACAGATCAGGTACAAGGTGTTTTCGATGAGATCATGCATTGGAAGCGTTTCTATAAAAACAGTTTTCTAGCGAGGTGGCAAAGGCAGTCTGGGCTGTTAGAAAGAAATGTAAAGTGCTGGTAAGGAGGGGAGGAAACATGAGGAAGGGTGTCCTGTGGAGACCATGGCCAGAGAAGCAGCCAACTCTGAAGGCCAAGAGGTGGAAGTTTTCTAGGTCTGGGCATGAAGGGGTGCAGCTTCAACACCCAGCTAGCTCTGCCTCCAGGGGCTGCAGTCCCAGGAATTGTGTGGCCTCGATTCCTATACGCTGCGATCATTTGAACCCTTCAGGACCAGTGGCGAGAGGGGCAATACCAGGAGGGTGGAGGGAAGGTGAGGGAGAAAGGGGGAACAGATGACAAGGTCTACATATAACTACTTCCTCCTTGGGGGACGGACAGCGGAGAGGTGGGTGAGGGAGATGTCGGATGGTGTAAGATATGACAAAATAATAACAATTTATAAATTATCAAGGGCTCAGTGGGGAGCGGGGAGAGAGGGCAAAAATGATACCACGGGCACAAGTAGAGAGCAGGTGTTTTGAGAATGATGATGGCAACATATGTACAACTGTGCTTGACCGCAATTGATGTATGTATGGATTGTGATGAGTTGTATGAGCCCCTAATAAAATGATTAAAAAAAACTAAACGGACTAGAACTGCCCCATAGGGTTTCCAAGACGAAACATTTCCCCAGGGCATATCGCCATGGGGAGTGGCCAGTGGATTTGAACTACCGTCCTTTCCAGGAGAACCAGGGAGAAATCCCGGCTAGCAGATAGGGGGTGGGAGCGCTGGTTTGCACCCATGCGCAGCCGCCCGGGGTTGGGACAGGGTTAAGCCTTCATCACCTGCAGCTGAAGTGCGACCCAGCTGGGAAGTAGGAAGTGCCGCGCCGGAGCTTCCTGTAGAAGTCCACGCGGGCTCGGGCTCGGCTGCTCGGAGCCGGCCGCGCGCTCTGCCAGGTTCACGGGCACCGCGGCTGCTGGGCCGGGAGGGGCGGGCCGCGTGCTCCTCCTCCGGGCCAGTCGGTCTGGGAGCAGCAGCCCTGTTGCAACCCTGCAAAGCGGCGAGCTGTCAGCCGCAGGGCGCCGAGGAGGAGGGCAGGGATGGAGCCGGTCCCCTCCTCAGAGTAGGAGCCTCGGAAAGGAGCGGGAGGGAGGCGCCCGAGACGGCCAGCCGCTGGGAGCCAGCTCGCTACGCAGCCCTGCTGCCGAGGTAGGTTCAGCGAGCTTTGAAAATGCTGCTGCAGGCGGGGAAAGCCGGGGTGGTGACTGAGAAAAGAACCCGAGTCTACGGAGCCGTGACACCGTGCTTTGAAAGCCCCCTGCTCCCCTCTGCTTCCACTGACCGCCTGCACCCTCTCAAATTTAATGAATCCTGACTGCCTGGAACACCTGTTAACTTTCTAAAATAGGTGTTTTGGTAAAGGGCTACAAAATTAAAAAAATTTTTTAATCGGTCTCTGCAGATCAAAGCTTCCTATGTTTTAGGAGCACTCCAAAGTTGGCCTAATCTTGGGTGTTTACCTTCTGTTATTTGGAATCGCATACCAATAGCTATACATAAGATGTTATGTGAACCGTGGGATCCTGGCCATACATCCTGGGCTTAGTTTCTCAGATAATGGCTCACACAACAGAGGCAAGCACAGGCTCAAGTTTAAGTTAAAATGAAACTGATTCGGAACAAGCCTGTGCATTCCAGCCAGGGGAAGGTGGATTGTGCTCACCCCTTGCTGAGCACCATTTGCTTTTTTTTATTCCTTGCAGGGTTTCCCAGGGCTGTCTGTTCCCTACACTGGGATTCCCACGTCAGCAATTCTCAGAACCCAATCCCCCTTTCTTGTTGCTTCAACCACTGCCTGCCACATTCGCCTTTCTTTCTGCAGGCAGGAGCAAACATTAGCAGGGGTCCCTAATAGGATTATCCCTCTTCTTCTCACTTGGCAAGTCTGGCTGCTGCTTTGAACAGTGAGAAGTGGGAATTAAAAAGCAACATGGCTAACATTCCTGAAACAGCAGATTGGTTGCAGAGGTTGGGGTAGGGGGTGTGTGCGTTAAGAAGCAAAATAAGTAAACTTGAAAATGACTCCGTTTTGAGGGTGTGGGTTAGAGGCAGAAGGACCTCGGCCAGTCTGAACAGCGTGGCTGGCTAATGAGAGTCTTTGGCTGCTGTGGATTTCCCTAGCACCAGCCTGTGGGTTCCTGAGCCTTTTCCACACCCAATTCCTTCTCCTGGAGGCCGCCTTTTCCTTACGTGGCCCTTTCTTCTCAGCCCTGATCCTTCCCATGGGTAGCCAGCATTCCCTAAGTATTTCGCAAACTTTCCAAAAAATCCGATCTGTAGTAGATCCACACACCATTTGGAACACTGTCTTATGAAATGCAATTATGAAACATCTCCGGCCCCTTCCCCCAGCCCTTACACACCTCTGATTGGTATTTGGTTCTTCCGTGAGTACAAATTTAGAAATATAGCCAGGTGAAAGGGAAAGAAAAAATCCTTTCCAAAGTCTCTCTGACCGTCTTGGTCAGTAAAGAAATTACAAGGTCAAAAAGTACAGTGAATGTCAAAAAGATGTTGAGCATCAGAACCAGGTTGCTACTTTACCCCACCCCCACCCTCACCCCTACCCCCCACTCTGAGAAACCCATGCCAGTCCCCTTAGATAACTCCTGTGCTGGAAGGGAAGGTTTGAGTGTGGTCAGACCCTGTCCATTTACCCAGCGCTTTACAAATATTTACAGGCATTTATGCCAAATATCTCCGTGCTTAGTCTGAAGAACATTCTCCACATTCAAAAGCCCCATTCTCATGAATGGCTTGACTTCACTGGCAATTAAAAGGCATCCAGACTTCCAAACTAGGTCAACTTAAGAAATAGTTTTAAAAAAAAATCAGTTTTGGGGTTTTAAATTATGAACCGGGGTTGAGGAGCCAAAACTTGACAGCAAAGGGAAAAGTGTGTGCTCTCTCTAGAAAGAAAGAAAGAAAGTAGTGTGGGGGTGGGGAGGTGGAGGCCTGGAAGGGGGGCTTAGTTTATCTGCAGAATAAGACAAGCTAGCTTTCTGGAAAGTATGTGCCTCACCAATGGTATGAATACTTTTCTAAGGCAGTGGTTCTCCACCTTCCTAATGCTGTGACCCTTTAATATAGTTCCTCATGTTGTGGTGACCCCCCAATCATAAAATTATTTTCGTTGTTACTTCATAACTATAATTTTGCTGCTGTTATCAATTGGGTGTCCCCTGTGAAAGGGTTGTTCGACCGCCAAAGGGGTTGCGACCCACAGGTTGAGAACCGCTGGGTTAGATGCTTAGAAATATTGCTCTGTAGTGTTTCTGGGAACCCCGGCTCCCAGGATAGCTATGGCCTTGACTTGTGACCTGCCTGTCTTGTTTGAAAGCTGAAGTTGGCAGCAGAGGTCAGAAATCATGCTGGACCCAGATGTGGATGGATTACCAAAAGTCCAGACAAGTTTTGGAATGAAACTCGTTTGAACGGTGGCTTATTTTGGCTGTGGAATGGAGCCAAGCTGCCAGAAGCTGCACTTTCTACTTGGGGCTTTGGGGTCTAGGTGTCTTGCAGCCGCTACTTCCAAGTACTGGGCCATTTGTGCCGGTCCTGTTGGCCATAATTTATAGAAGCTCCCTAGTCAGCTAGAGCAAATTGTGTTGCCCGACTTCTGAATGACTGGGCAGGAGTGAGGTGAGAACCATGCTTTTCATTCTTTCTCTCCTCCATGTACATTCAGAAAGCTTATTTACTCTCTGTACTCTCGGGTGGCCACGATTTGCCAGGCATCTTGGGTGGTGGAAATGCCTACTGTTTTCTTGGCTGCCAACCAAAAGGTTGGTGGTTCAGGTTCACCGAGATGCACCTCGAAAGAAAGGCTGACTCTTCTCTTTCCCAAAAATCAATCATTGAAGACCCTATGGAGTCCAGTGGTACTCCAGCACACCTGTGGTCACCGTGACTCCAAGCCGCATCCACAGCCACTGCTGGCTGCTTCTGCCGGAGGCTGGGGAGATCAAGATGGATACGATATAGCCTCTGCCCACCAGCCTTACTGGCCAGAGAGAGATTGGGAGACCCTCGGAGACTGCAGTCTTCGATCTTCAGG